TTTGTTATTGTGAGCCACCCAGAGTCACCTGTTGGGGGAGATGGGCGGCATACAAGTTTAATAATTAATAAATAAATAAATAAAGTAAGTAAGTAAGTAAGTGTCGGATTGGCTTTGGAGAGACCCAGTTTTCGTCCTTCAGCTATAGAAACCCCCTGAGGCCAGTCCGTCTCTCCCAGCCAACCTACATCACAGGGTGGTGATTGTGGGGCAAATGCAAGGAGAGACACAGAGTAGGTCAATTGGAGTTCCTGAAGGAAAGGTGGGGTATAAAACTAACGAGCTAAACAATACACTATTGATCTCCCAAAATACACACCCCTTACTCATTCCACAATTGCAAGAATGTGCCTTGGATGTACCTGTTAGACAGAGACTTTTTGAAAAATTCCACCACAGCCATTCTTTGCATCCTTGTGCAAAGGCTGCCCTGTTGTCTTCAGTAATTTCCCATTTATTTTTTTAATTTCAGGAAGAGGAAAAGAAGCCTATGAAGATTAACAAACGCCCCGGCAAGGTAGGATGGTGAAACATAAGGGTGACTTCCCAGGATCCGGCAAAAGAGATGATACACTGGTAGACGCAAAGTTAAGATGGCACCCTTTCCTTTTTTTCTCCCTATTTCTCATTCACTATAGATCATTTTATACTCTGAGGCTGGCTTTGGAGGGCAGAAAAGAGAAGTCTGGAGTGATGTTCCAGATGCCACTTCCTGGGAACTCACAAGCACTATCTCCATTCAGGTGATCCGAGGAGGGTAAGCAAAGCTTTGGCTGGTTCTGGATAAGCACAGTGAGAATAAGGCCTTGGGTAGAAAAAGAAAACAGCAAGAAAGTGCTATAAAAAGAATCAAAACCTTGTGGTCTTACTAATGTTACTGGACATCAGTTCCCAATACCATAATTATACTCCAGCTAAGATGAATTGTTCAGAAGTGAAAGGCTGCAGGTTCTCCATTCTTGTAGTACAATACAAGGAGCTGTTAATACGATGTCAGTGTAAGTAATACTTACTTTTATTTAATTTGTTTCATGCAGATCTTGGTATTCTTCCAAACAATGCAGAAAGACTCCAATGCTTGGACCTTTTGTTAGTGCAAGGAGATATATTAGAAGTATATACAATTATTCAAAATAAATAAGTATTTTTCACACTTTGTAAGGCAGGTCGATACAGGGCTGACGAAACAGGCAGGGAAATGCAGGAGTGTTTCCATACGCCATGGCTGTATTTGCACAGCACGGCTATTAGGAAACTGGGCATTGCTAAATTTGGTTAGTTTCAACCTTGGTTGGTCTTTTGGCTGGGTTTGCTGTGCAGTGCCAAGATGCTAGGATAAGGGAGATTGTGGACCAGTTGCTCTGAGAATTCCATCTTTGTCTTAATATGTTGTGTGAATCACATTGTCACATTAATCTATAATATGGCCCATTTGTTTGGGCACAGCACATTTTAAGAACTCAGCCCTTGGCTTTCATTCAGATGGGATTAGAGCTTAATGCAGCCAATGTGTCATCATGCTGTAATATTTACTGCTATCAAAAGTGGTGATATTCAGCACTTTTAAGATAATTTAGATAAGTGTATGAAGGACAATATGATCACTGGTTATCTTGACAGTGGTCTGCTCCTGTAGTGAGCCATGGACCTTGGAGAACTCATCCAGAAGCCTTTAAGACAATAACCAGCGCAAAAGCATTCATTAAGCACAGGGAGGCAGGAAAGGATTAGAAACGGACTTAGCCTGGCTTCCCCCCTCCAAGGTGTAAGAGGGAGGGGAGGAGAAATACAGTCAGAATTGCAAAATTCTGTTGTTATATCCTATCTCAATAAAGTATAGTTCTAGTCTTCTTGTGTTTTCTGATCTGGTCTACCTCGTAGGGCTGACCCCTCCTTCTTAAATGCCAGCTACTGGGGAGGAACAGTAAAAAAGAGCTGTCTCCCTTATATCCTGGGCATGAGCTTTCCAAATGAATTAGGCTAGTTAAATATTTGCCCGGTGAGCATAATAACTGAGTGGATCTTTGAACTAAGTGGTCTTTCCGATCATAGCCCAACATTAATTATTGGATGAATGCTGACACGGTTTTCTGTGACATGGGTGTTTTTAGTGTATATCTATCTATCTGAACTGTGGAGCTATGGAGGAATGGAACAGCAAGTGGCAGGAGGATAGGAGAGTATCCCAAATTCTTTGACCCCCCCCTCCTCTTTTGTGGTTGAAGCAAAACATTTTTGTAAGATATTTTTGATAAGTATTTCTATGATTGTTCAGTACAGAGGAGAAGTATTCCCCTTTTAAGAAGCATGAGAATTGTGGGTGGGTACCCAAGCAACTCCATCAACGTCACACACCAGCCAGTTCAACTCTAGAATATAAGTTGAAGACATGGCTCTGATTGGGACTCACCAAATGATGTCAGTTTCTGGTTCTCTCTAGTTGGTTGATGTACGAAAAGCCCCGATTCCATGGGCGGAAGTGTGTGCTGGCTGAAGGGAATGTGGAAATCACTAACCCTTGGAAAATGTACTGCAAGGAAGAGTTGGAAAGGGAGAATGCCCCATTCTGTATTGGTTCTCTGAAGCGGGTTGTGCAGGTAAGGGGGACTGAGTTCCATTTGAAAGTCTTTTTCTTTTTGGGGAGTTGGTTGGCCATGCAGGTTAATGTTGATGTTGGAACACTGAGAATATAGAAAACTGCCATTTGCCGAGTCAAAATTAACTCCTGTATGAAACCTGAAGAGGTGGATTTCCTCAAGTCTGCCTGGAGTTGCCAGTGATTGCAGCTGAGTCTCATTCTTCAAAGCAGGGAGAGCCACTGAAGGCAGTGAGAAGCAAGAGAGAAACCTATTTGGTTCAGTAGCAGAATGGAGAAGGCATCTTTGCATATGATGGAAAGCCAGTGACTCAGTATCTGTGATGGATGAGGAGGACATTGATAGCTAAAGGGGCCACCAGGGGCGCCATCCATGCCACTATGGTATTGGCTCCTTTGAGTGGAAGAATGGTCTGAAAATAAAATAAATAACCAAATTATGACCCTGGATAACTGAAGCTGACATTTTTCAGTGCAAAGCATTTGAAAGTGTTTGGTTAATGAATTAAGTTTGCCTAGATCAGTTGGACTTATCTTGAAAATTGTTTCTGAAACAAAGTTTTGCCAGCCAGCTTTCTACTCATCTGTGATCTGAAAATCATAAGAAATGGGAACATCTGAAGAGTTTTCCCACTTGGTTGCCTCATGGTATCTCTTTTTCTCTCATTCCAGATTACATTAGTTCTTGTAGGTAATATAATGGTGGACTTTGGCCGCTGCCTTTGCAGCTCTGACCTCAGTACAAGCCATAAAAAGTCTGGAAAGTGTCTGAAAATCTAGACCAGCCCTTTTCAACCTCATGTCCTGCAACTTTGTTGGATTTCAACTCTCAACATTCCCAGCTGCCAAAAGAAATAAAAGTCCAACCCCCTGGAGGGCCAGGCTGGGGAAGGTTGGCCTAGATCAGTGTTTTTCAAACTTGTCAGCTTTAAGATGTGTAGACTTCAACTCCCAGAATTCCCCAGGCAGTATGCCAAGTTTGAAAAACACTGGTCTAGATCAGAGTGAGTGGCATTTTTCTTCTGTTTAGAAGGTTGTAATGTACATATGACTTGGAGAGTTATAAGGAAAATGATAGTGATGAAGCAGTGATTTTTTTTTGGCTTAGGGGATGCATAAAATAGATAAGTAGAGGTTACAGTTCATCTATTTTAGGGGTTAATTCATTTTGTTAAAAATGTTTCACAACATGGGCCACAAAAATGGGATTAAGAAGCTACATGCAGCTATAAGCCATGGATCACTCATTCCTGATTCATATAAACCTACTGAAGGATTTGATGAGACTATTGAAACGTGTAATCCATTACTGAATGCTGGGAAGTAATGATTATGGAAATCAAGGTTCTAGCTCTTTTCCTATTAACAAGCTAAGCTTCTTCTTTGCAGGATTACAGACTTCCTGAGATCAGTTTTTTTACAGAGGAAAATGGGGAAGGGAGAAAACAGAGATTCACTGATTCTGCAGAAGATTCACGAGCATATGGCCGACCCTTGAAGGCAGCATCTATCATTGTACACTCTGGCCTGTAAGGCACTTTTTTCCCCCTATTTTATAAGAGGTGACCTTAAGCTAAAGTGCTTGATTTCTTTTTTATGGAGATCAAAATAGAAAGATCTGAAGGGTGGACATTAGCTCCTCCTTTAATGGAAGGCTTGTTGGTTACTAGCAAAAGTTCCACACAGCAGAATATTGATGTGTGGATAATCAAAAAAGTAGATGGCTAACAGATCCCACTGCCAATGTCAGTGATGGGCCCTGTTGGGACGCTGTGACCACCACAGTTGCTGGAGGAGATTGATGACCGATGCCAGTCCTGCCAAAACATTTAAGAGCTGAATATGGTCTGTTCATCTGGGTACCCATTTCCACCCATTCACCTGGCACCTGATTGCCAAATTTTATGGAAGTGAACAAGATGTGCAAGGAGAGAGTAGTACTTTTATAGAGTCCCTCTCTATTTCAGGAGAAGGAAAATCTGCCTCTGACCTAATGATTTCAAGATTCTGACATTTTGTGCTGCTCTTGATCAACTTCCTATAACATGGTAGAGTCCTACATTCTCTGGTTGCAAGAAAGATGGATAGGTCTAGGGACTGGTGGAAAAGTGGACTTGGAGGCACTTTGTCTGCAGCTTCTCATGATGGCTCTCACATCTATTTGGGAATTCAAATGTTTATTTATCTGAAGCATTTAAGGACAAGCTCAGCAGATCATTTCTGAACTTACTTGGAAAACCTAGTGTACTACTGAAGGTTTTATACAAAAAAATTCATAATTTTTCTTCAGATTTTTCTTTTTCCTTTGCACACA